GAGGATTCTTACAATCAGTTTGGACCAGCGTCTTGCCCTCAGAGGCTCTCACCAGTCCTGTTTCTGAGTTAGGAGCCATTAAGGAAAAATGCTACGTCCTGATAATTAACTATCACCTCGTCTAAATAAAGGTGCAGGTGAGGACAAAAGTAATCATGGAACTTAACAAGCAGAAGTGTGACTGGGTCAGGCAGGATGCTTCCCAAACAGCAAGCATTACATGGATAGAATTCCTCATTGCTGAAGTCCTGAGACAAGAAGAGAAAATGGATACTTATTTTTGTACTGGACAGAGAAGAACATCCTCAGAAAGAATCATGCTTCTTGCTGGCATGGTGGTGCAGGCCTGCAATCCCAGCACTCAGGAGGCTGAGGCAGGTGGATTGCAGTGAGTTCAAGACCAGCCTGGACTACATAGTGAGACCCAGTCTCAAAAACACAAACACCACCACCACCAAGAAGAGCAAATGAATATATCCCACTACATTTATAATCTCCCAGTCTTTTTTTTTTTGGTACTGGGAAATGAACTTGGGACCTTGCGCTTGTGAGGCAGGTGACAGAACCACTGAGCTAAATCCCTGGCCCTAGTCTCCCAGCCTTATCAGAAAGCAAGATTTATTCCAAATATTTTGATAATATGTGAAATATGCTGTGTAGTTATTAAACTCACTATGGCTGGCCCTGAACTATGTAGCTCAAGCCAGTCTCAAACTCATGGAGTTCCTCCTGCCTCAGCCTTCCGAGTGCTGGGATTACAGACATGTACCATCATGCCCCACTAAGTCATGCAATTTATTTATGTATTTATTTGGGGGGTGTTTGAGATAGGGTCCCACTATGTAGTTGAGACTGACGTGGAACTCACTATGTAGCCCAGGCTGGTCTTGAACTCAGAGATCCTCCTGCCTCAGCCTCCTGAGTGCTGGGATTACAGGTATGCGCCACCACATCCAGCTAAGTCATGCTACTTAAAAGTTACATCTGAAATACTTGGCCAGTGACCCAATTTAATTGGGTATGATTCAGATCTGAAGTACTACTGATTCTACACACCACATTCCCTGGCAAAACAGACAACTGGCTACCATTCAGTTTATTTTACTTTATTTTATTTTATTTTTGAAAGAGAGTCTTGCTATGCAGCCCAGGCTGGCCTTGAACTCACGGAAATTCTTCTGTCTCAGTCTCTTGAGTGCTAGGATTACAGGCATGCTCCACCACGCCTGGCTGCTGAGTACATTTTAAAAAGCTCCACTGCAAACCCTGGAGGCCCCCTCAGAGATGGAGCTCACATCTTCTGACTACAAGAGTTTTCAGAAAATAGTGACCACTATGGAGTGGTTAATGCTTGTGATATATATATCCCTGGAATCTGTTAAAAAAACAAACAAAACAACAAAAACCTCATGACATTGCAGGTAAACTTTTTAAACTCATTACCAAGCCGTAAGAACAAAAGTCTTTAGAGTTATCCAAAAGGTTTTCAAAAAAATTTATTTTCATAAATTAACACACATAACAGTGGGCATTGTAGTCACAAACTACCAAACAAAAAAGGAATCGCAGGGGCACCATATGCCAATGTTACCAAAAATGTACAAATGTCACCGAACTACTGACCATGATAATACAGAAACACTCAGACAGCTATTCACTGGCCCAGATCCCAGCTCACGGGGGTGTGGAGGTCTCTCACTGCGAATTCAAATCCAATTCAGCACCACCGGGGGCCTTGCAAAGACAGTTAACAAGCATCAAATCTTAGGGCGCTATGTCGGATGGTGGGCTACACAGGGGTCCCCTCGGTTCACCGTCAAGGTAGCTTTTGCTGCTTAAGGTGTTTAGAAGGTAACATGAAAGTTTCTCTCCTGAGCCAGCTTTCTACAGTTCTGTCAAGGAGCCTACTCCTTACATGAATCCAGGCAAGGATACTCTGTACCAATTCTTTACACTTTGGATACAGCCACCCCCAATACGGTTATTTAAGAGGTCCTTTCCAAGGGAGAAGCTTACAGAAATAAAACAAAACAAGGATATCAAAGAAAGCACCAACTACATACTTCTCTCCTCCCCAGGTAATGGGCAAAATGTATCACTGCCTAAAAGTTGGTCTTCCTTGGATCTTCACGGACATGGTACAGGTGATGAGATGGAATCCCAGCTCAGAGTTGGGGCAATGGCTCTGCAACCATTGGCTGCACCGAAGCCCTGGACCTGCTGCCACAGTCTTACAAACTTGCTGCTGCTTGGCTTAGCCTCGTGGCCAGAGGACGAGTCACGGGCAAGCATGCCCAGGGTGGGATCCGACACTGACCTCAGGCTGACTCTACTGCCCACGAGAAAGGACCTTTCAGGCAAAATTGTGTCAAAGTATCATGATTTTCACAGCTCTTGGAGGAGCACTGAGTTTTGGGATTCACAGCATCAGTGTCTGAGCTCTTCAGGCTCCGAGTAAGGCAAACACTACATGTCTTCCCCACGGCACCTCTCAGCTATAGTTCAGTAAGGAAAAGCGAACACAATATTTTAACAGGTGATGAGGTGCCTTCAAACTAAAGGAGAAATGGAGCTGGAAAGCCTAAGAGGGAAAAAAACCAAAAACAATAGAAAGGGCTATGACGGGAAGAGGCCACTACAGGTAAAACTGAAAGATGGAAAAGGAGACGGGCAGAACCCTGACTGGACCTGAGATTTCTCCTCTCTTCTCTGACAAACACTAAAACACTAAACTTCGGGAGGTGAGTTATGGCTGAGTTAGTTGTAGTTAAAGGTGATGTCCCACCACCTGGGGTAAGAAGTCCCCATTCTCAGAAACGGTACCAACCATGGTACTCACCATGACACGCTCACCCCGTAGCTCTGGGACGGTGGTGGGGTCAGGGACCACTGCCAGCCCCAAGTCTGGCTGGATCAGGGTAAATGATGTGAAGACGTATGCTGCTAAGTGTGGCTAGAACCTGACTGTCAACTACATGTAAGTAATTTCGACTTTGCGATGAGGCCTCCATCTCAACTTTGGAGCAGAGAGGCCCTCGCCAGAAAGTAGGCCACAGATTTCAAGGACAGGCAAGGCTGGCCTGGGAGCAGCTTCCCGGTCTCTGCTCCTCTGGCCCTTCGTTCCTGAATGCCAATGTTCCAGATCAACACTCCAGTCCTTTCAAGGACCACACCTCTGATGGCTTAGCTTGGAACCGCATGTCTGTCAGGCTGTGACACCACGGCTGTGTCCACCCCTACTTCCCTCTGCTGGGTAACCTGCCTGCCACAGGGCTGCCTCGGCTACACTGGCTTTGGAGCCGGCACACAGGGCTCTGTCAACTCACTGCTCCTTTGCAACGTGTCCAGGAGGAGCTCTCTAAACATCTGTACAAGGGTACAGTGTTATAACCCATTCGATTTCCTCCACCAAAACGACAGAAAGAAGTGCTGACAGTCTAAAACCCGTGGGAGGGAGAGATACTGAGGTGAAACATACTGTGTCCACATGGTCTGGGCAAAATGCATGTAGAACAGCGGAATCTGGCTGCATCATTCAGAACCAGTGAGGAAACTGGTTCTCTTTTACCCCTCTGGGGCTATGGCCTTAGAAGTCTCTGCGGCTGACCAAGTGTGTATCCCACGTATCTAACTGCTATGTCCGAGGGGGCAAGCCTGGAAGACAAACATGGCACATTTTCTTTCCTGCTTATGTCAATTTTTCTGCTCCAGTGTGGCACAGACTATCAACCTGTAAAGGAAAGGCACATAGTGACCCCTACCCACACCCCATCTCCCCATCAACACACGGGGGAGCAAAAGAGTCCTACAAGAGTTGGCCAACACTCCAGAGGGCATCACTCACTCTTCTCTAACAGGCTGGGAAAGGTCCCTGGAGCTTTGACAGTTTCATCACTGGCTGCTTTATGGTGGTGGCCCCTGGGAGGAAGGGAAGAGGTGACCAGTGTCCTGTGGCTGACCTGAGCACCTTACTCCAGCCAAAGAATGTTAACTCTGAACTCTTATTTTTTTAATTAACCAATTTTTTTTAGTACTGGTGATCGAACTCAGGACCTTGCATGTGCAAGGCAGGCGCGATGCCACTTTGTTACATCCTTGGCCCTGAACTCTAACTTTAAAAGAGAGACAGGAAGGGGCTGGGGATGTAGCTCAGTGGCACCTCACCTGCCTGGCAAGCCCAAGGTCCTGAGTTTGATCCCCGGTACCACCAAAAAAGAAAAAAAAAAAAAAAAAGAGAGCGAGAGAGGAAGAGGAAGAGGAAGAAGAAAAAAGAAACCACAAGAGGAGGAGAGGAGGAGTAATGAGGCAAGTGCACAAAAGGATTCAGGGGGAAAGACAGAAATGAGACCTCTGGGCATGCTGCCTACATAGTATCCTGCTGCCCACAGACTGCAGCAGACACAAACCCCGAAACTTTGCTAGTGCTGGCTTCAGCAATACTTCCAGTAGGTCTGACACAGGATCGGCATACGTGAGGTACTCTCAGAGGGCTAGCTGCGGAATTCCAGAATCCCACTCCAAGAATGCATCACTGGGTATGCACTGCTACCCCAACTTTCTCTTCACTCCTGGCGTAAGCTGCTTGAATAGCTGAGGACCTTCGAGGTTGGCCTCTGTCACTATCCGAGCCGGTGTACCCAACTTTGCCACACACTAACATTTCAGATGAAACCACACTCAGTCTTCGCATTTTTTTTAAGTGATTCTGAGAGAAATCTGTTCTTAATTATGTTCTTAAAATAAATATGTGTACTTAATAGGCAGGAATAAGAACCCATATTTTAAAAAGTGCTCCCTCTAATGAACTACACTAAAAGTTAGAGATAGAGAGGGATTGCTTGAAATACACAAATAAGAAATATGTCTTCCATGCACCAATCAACTGGGTTGAATGCCTGTCATATATTCTCTTAAGACATGTATTACTTTTTTCCTTAATGTCTTAAAAAAATTGTTTTAAAATCACATTTAAAGGCCCCAAACATGCAGCAGTGACACACACACACACACACACACACACACACACACACACGCAGAGAAAAAAGAAATAAAATGAAAATAATCAACATCACAACATTAGAAAGTGCAACTTACTTTGGGGCCTGGATGGGCTCCTCTGGCACTAGTGACCCATAGTCACAGAGGGGAGAAAACAATGGGGAAAAGCCACACACACACTCACATTAACAGTTCCGGGCAGACAGACTCACAGAATTAGAAAATACAACAGCTCATTTTTCTCCCCCCACTACCAAAACGAGCTGGTTATTCCACACAGGACAGGACGTCAGGTCCCCTTCCCTGGACCATGTTTCTAAGTAATCTTGGTCTAGCACCACCGTAAACAAAGCAGAACTTTCGTGTGGACGCGCAAATGCTGTGAGTCCTTGGAATTTTAGTGTTGCGTAAGATACGTGGCTTCTTCCTCCTGTGGATGGCAGAGATAGAGAAGAGGCGGCCGGACATTACTCGGGACCATTTCCAGGGGAGAGAGCATTCCTGAGGTTCAGTACTCAGCAGGAGAAACACAGGACCCTCCATCACCAGTTCCCTCAAAGGCTGCACCTTGAAATAGGTAAAAATTCTTGGACTGGGCATCTTGAGTAGTTTGGGAATAGGGCAAAATTAGGCAACCTCTTTCAGGGAGGTCTGGAAAGATCCAAGATTGAGAGCTCCAACCAAATTGCTTCTCAACAGCCTGATGACTACTCCTGTTCCTCTTCTTTGGCAAAGAAGGTTTCCAGTTCCATCAGTTTCTGTATCAAAAGAGCATCCAGTTCTCGACTTTGCAGAGCTGCCTTCTGTGCCCTGGTAAAGCTGCCACCCAACATGACTTTACCTCGAGCTCTCCTCTTTCGCGGGACTGTAAAATCCTGAAATTCTAGAACTCGCTTTCTTTTCTGTTGGCTGACTGAGATTAGTGTACCATTTCGTTCCTTGGGTTCCTCAAAGATGGTCTCTAAACACCTGAGGTTGGAGCACAAAACAAAATCGTAACAGACTCACTCATATAGCTCACCAACACTTCCAATCAACAGAGCTGAAAGCTACTTGTATCAATAAATCCTTACTCAACTGTGAATGAAATGTGTTTCTGTGCAAGCACATGGTCACGAGTTCGATCCCTGGTACCAAAAACCAAACCAAACCAAAGCAAAAAACAACAAAGTTTAATGAGAAATTTAAAAAAAGATATTTACGTTGTTTCCAACTCTCTTCTATTATTTAGCAATGTTGGAAAAATAAAATCCTAGGACAAACTCTTAGAAGGCTTGCTACATCCTAGACCAAAACAGGTATTTAGTAAATGTCACCAATTAACTAAATTCAGGCCCAAAAGTGATCAAGTGAATTGCTTCTGTATTTTGGTTTGGAATCATACTTGAGGATCAGTAATTATCAGTCAAAAGAAGCCAGTCAGCGTATTCGGTAAAAACAAAATTACAGGGCTGAATCTCAGTAGTGCCACCGCCTGCCTCTCAAGCACAAGGTCCTGAATGAGATTCTCTGTCCACAGAACCTCATGTACACTTCCTTCTTATGTTATCACTGACTATTCTATGCAGGTGCTGGCAATTAAAAACACCAATTCTGGCTATATCAAAGGCCCAGTATTTGCAGAACTGAACACGTACTCTTTTTAAAGTGAAAGGACTAGATTTACATCAACAATTGCACAAGTCTACATATCTCTCACTTCCCAACCACAGATACCTACCTATTTGCAGGAGGGGACTTATAATTTTTGTTGGTATATATTTCTTCTAAACTAAATTCTTTTTTCTTTAATCTGAAAAGAGAAATACATACATTGTTAGTGCTCTCTAAAAAAAAAAGAGCACATCACCATGCACTAAACTAAAATCCAAGTGGGTTAAAGATATAAATATTAAAACAGAAACACTAAACTTGCTGTAAGATAAGTTAGGTAGAACTCTTGAAGATAGTGGCACATGAAAAGACTTTATGAACAAATCCTCAGTGGCATGGGAACTAGCAGAAAGAAACAACAACTGGGATCTCATCTTTTAAAAAAGTTTCTGGGCTGCCAGAGAAATCACAAGCAGAGCTTAAGAGACAATGCACACAATGTGGGAAAAAATTTTTACCACCTGCTCCTCAGACAAAGGTCTACTATCTAGAACATACAAAGAGCTCAAAAAAATGAGACCCTCCCCCAAATATAAAGACCCAATTCAAAATTGGGCATCTGAAATGTATAGACATTTCTCAAAGAAGTAAAAGCAGCAAATAAACATATGAAAAAATGTTCAACATCACTGGTCATTCAAGAGATGTAGATGAAAACAACACTGAGATTTCACCTCAACCCAGAAAGAATGGATGCTATAAAGAAATGAACCAATAACAAATACTAGCAGGACTGTGGGGATAGGAACCCTTCTTCATTGTAGGTGGGAGTGCAGAATGGTGCAACCACTGTGGAAATCAATATGGAGATAACTCAAAAAACTAGGATTCAAGGCCCCATTTGACTCAGCTATTCCCCTGCTGGGTAGCTTCCCAAAAGAATTAAAAGAATCATACTACAGTGATATATGCTCACCCACATTTATAGTGGCACCGTTTGCAATAGCTAAAACTTAGAAACAGCCCAACTTCCCAACAACGAGACTGGATAAAAAAGTTTTTTTTGATAGCGGGGATTGAACTTGGGGTCTTGTGCTTGTGAGACAGGTGCCGGAACCACTGAGCTAAATCCCCAGTCCAAGATGTGTTTTTTTTTTTTTGGTTTTTTTGACAGTGTAGTTGAGACTGATCCGGAACTCACTATGTAGCTCAGGCTGGTCTCGAACTCACAGTGATCCTCCTGCCTCAGTCTCCCGAGTGCTGGGATTACAGGCGTGCACCACCACACCCACCTAAAATGTGGTTTTTAAATAGAATGGAGTACTAGTCAGCCATAAAGAATGACAAACTAGAGATATTTATAGCTAAGTGGATATACATTGAGGCCATACTCTTAAATGAAATTAATAAGTCACACGTGTAAATACAGAATAGTTTCTCTGGTGTGAAAAACTAAAAGTGTAAATAAGGATCAAAATGTATAACTGATATCGTGTAATAGGAAGAAAAGGTCTAAAAGAGTAGAGGAAGTGGGAGGGGTAGGGGAAAAGTAAAAAGGGAAAAGAAAAAATATGTGAAAAGGAAAACATGAAACAATGTCTTTGTAAACAGGGAAGGGTGGAGGGGCTAAAGGGAGGACAGAGGATTGAGGAAAAGTAAGAATCAAGACCTGTCATGTAAAGGTACAAGATTCCAGTGATGAATGTAACTGTACTGTACACCCAAAATGCACCAATAAACTTAATAATAAAGATTAAAAAATAAATAAAAAAGAGTACAGACTCATTTTCTAACCCAACCTTTAACAGTCTTTTACTCTCAATTTTTCTGCAACAAGAGATGGGCTTTATATGAACAATATGTACTAGATTTTCTTTACTATGCTGGAAATCTTCAACTTCACAAAATTTAGTATACCAATAGAATTGACAGTCTTCAGTGCAGAGCAACAGAGGAACACAGAAGTGGTGTGAGAGCCTCTGGTAGGCCCGCCCCTTCATTGTCCATGCCCCCCACCCCAGAACAAGAGAAAGAGGGCTTCTCTGAGGCTCCTAGATGAAAAGTGAAATCCACTGGAAAAGGGAAGAAAATCTCTGTGATAAAGGAACACCACACCACCGTAGCTGGTAAATTGTAGGACCAGCATCTCACATCGGAACCTGGTCTACCTTCAGGGGAAGTCAGTGGGAACCTGCAGGAGAGCCTCGCAGAGTTCACCCCAGCAGGAGGTCAGAGATCTGAACTTGGGCCTTGTAGCCAAAACTCAGCCTGAAACTCAGGGGACAGCTGCTGGCTGAGACTAATTAGCTGAGAACTGCACAGTCCTGCCCACACTGTCTATTGTGTCAACAGAGGCATATCCTGAAGGAGGCCCTCTATTTCTATTTTTTTATCTTCAAAGTAATATTTTTGTCTTATCTTTATTTAAAAATTTTTATCTTTTTTTTCAAAAATTTTTTCCATTTTTAATCTTTTCTTTCTCTCCCTCTCTCCCACCTTGATCTTCATTTCTCTCCCTTTTTGTTCCTGTTTCTATTCTAATTTGAATTTATTTTCTTTCTTTTCCTTTTCTTCTCTCAAATGCCATGAGTTTGAAAAGAAAGTGATTACAGTCTCCAGCCTCCCCAATGCTGTTTGTTCTGTTCATGTATATATTTTGTTCTGTCTCCTCCTCTTCTCTTCAACAGCCTCCTAAAGTTTGTGTGATCTTCCTGTGTCCTCTGACCTCATTTCTAACCTTTCTTTATCCTGTCTTATCTATCCCTCCCCTCCCCAACTCCTTATAAATCCCCATCCTGAAGGGTAAAGAGGTTATTCACTACAAACATATTTTGTGTATGTGTGTGTGTGTGTGTGCGTGTATATATATATATATTTTTGTTTGTTTGTTTGTTTGTTTGTTTGGTTTTGTTTTTTTAGTTTTTTGAGACAGGGTCTCACTATGTAGTTGAGACTGACCTGGAACTCACTGTGTAGCCCAGGCTGGTGTTGAACTCACAGTGATCCTCCTGCCTCAGCCTCCTGAGTGCTGGGATTACAGGTGTGCGCCATCACACCTGGCTGGTCCTCGATTTTAATTTCATTCACACAGATAAAGGTGATAGATCAATAACTACCACAAATTGTCATTTTCTAAACTGTCCTTGATGCTAATGTGTTGCTGATTGTATCACCTGGGATAAGGTGGTGTGACTGATCTAATCAATTGTCCTCCCTGGTATAATGAAAATGAGATTGTCTCATAGTCATTACAGACTCAAAACCTAAAGACCAGCTATATCTGGAAGATCAAAGTATTAACTCAGGAATTAAACCAAGGACAGTACCAACAACAAAAATAGAAATGAGAAGACATCTAAACAAGGCACAAACACAGACTTCCACCTCACCAAAGGTGAACTCTGGGGAAAATGAGGTAGAAAAGTTTGATAGTCAACCATCTAGACAACCTGAATTGATAGCACAGAAGTAAAAAAAGATAAATGAGGCTTTAGAAAAATTCAAAACAGAAATAATTTCGCAGATAACCACAGAAATAGTGAGAAGAATGAAAGACTCTAGAATAGAAAAACAGAAAGAAAATAGATGAGCTCAGGACCATAATGGAAACCATGAATGTCCAGTATAGGAAAGAAATGGAAACCTTGAATGCCCAACATAGGAAAGAAATGAAATCCATGAAACAGATTAAAAATTCTATAGAAAGCATTTGCAGCTGAATGAATGAATGTGAAGATAGAATTTTAGATATAGAAGATAGGGTTGTGCTCAGTGACCATGAAAAGAGAGATCTTTTAAAAACAGTAAAGGACCATGAGAAATCAATCCAACAACTCTTAGATGATGCAAAGAAGAATAATATAAGACTGATAGGAATCCATGAAGTAGCAGGAGAAAGTGCAAATGACACACACACACACACACACACACACACACACACAAAACCCAAACAAACAAAAAAACCCAAACAAAAAAACTATCCACAAAATTAATGATAGAAAACTTTCCAAACAGAGAACAAGAATTTCAAATACAGATAAGTGAGGGATATAGGACTTAACTAACGAAGATAAAAAAAAATATCTACACCTAGACACATAATAATCAAGATCTCGGAAACCCAAAAGAAGAACAAAATACTAGAAGCAGTTAGAGAAAAGAAACAAATCACATGCAAAGGAAAGCCCATCGGAATCACGGTAGTTTTTTGGTTTTTTTTTTTGTAAAACTGTGATGACAATTTTTTTGTTTGTTCCAGGGATCAAACTCAGTACCTTCCACTTGCAAGGCAGGTGGCAGAACCACTGAGCTAAATCACCAGCCAAAGTTTTTTTTTGGTATGAGGCAGGCGGAGGACACAGCAGAGTTTTCAACACAAAGCCTCAAGTCAAGGAAAGCCTGCAGTGAGGTACTTCAAATCCTAAAAGAAAACAACCTCCAATCTAGACTGATGTATCCTTTAAAACTATCTTTCAAAATTGATGGGGAGATAAGATACTTCCACAACAAAGAACACCTGAGAAATTTTATGAACAACAAAATTGGCACTCCAAACACTTCTAAACAATAACCTGGAAAAAGAAAATGAAGGCCACAACTCCATTAAGGCCAACAGAGGGAATATACCAGGCAAGCAAGAAATTAAAAGGGAAAGGGAAAAAAATAAAAAATAAAAGAACCAACAACGGGAAAGTAACATGACAATGAAAAGTCAATACGTATCAGTTATAACCATCAATGTTAATGGCCTTAATTACCAATCAAAAGAATCAGGCTGGCAGAATGGATTAAGAAGCAAATTCCAATTATATGCTATATACAAGAATCCTACTTAATCTACAAAGAAATTCATGGACTGAAAGTAAAAGGATGGAAAACAGTTCTCCATGGGACAGGAGACCAGAAAAAAGCAGGGTTAGCTATCTTATTTGCAGACAGAGTAGATTTCAGACCAAAACTAATTAAGAGAGACAAGTCCGCTACATCCTTGTGAAGGGAACAATACAAATGGAAGAAATGACAATCATAAATATATATATGCACTGAATACTAATGCCCCCAACTACACAAAATAAATAAAATGGATATGAAAAACAAAATAAGCACTAACACAATTGTAGTTGGGGACCTCAATACTTCACTGACACAAATAGATCATCTAGACAAAAAAAAAAAAAAAAAAAAAAAAAAAACAAAAAT